GTCTGAGCACATATTGTCGCCGGTGACAATAAGTACCGATGGGTGACAATATTTGCAGTAAGGGTAGGTACATATTGGCGCTGACATCAAACATACAAAACCACAATATGTACATTGTACCGTCACAGACCCGTAGGAATAGGGGCACGGGAGAGGGGAGTATCCCCCAAAATTGTGCCAATATATACATATTATCGATATCAACGCTACTTTATTAATTTTCCTCCTCAATAATTACGTATGATGATTTCTTTTGGTAGACCCTTCCCTCAGCCCCACAAAACTGAAATTGCTTCCGATGGGCCTGATGTTTGTTGCAAGTAATTATCAAGGTTGTCATCTTAGATTGGACCGATGCATAATGTACAAAACTCATTCGTTTAATGTACATGTACAAAGGATAACAACTCCTATATAAAATATATTACGAATATTTGCGGCAAAAATATGCATTGGGTGTTGGAAAAATAATCCAGAACCTATACTGATTTAGTTTCTCAATGGCGTTTGTTTTAAATAAAATAAAACCAAATTTCTAATGTGTATTTTTTCAGCCTCATTGTCCATGATTGCTGTGTACATATTATTCACCTAAAGGTAGTCAGATCCCCAGGTTCTGAAAATCAGCAGTCAAGTGATTGAAAGTGCTCCAAAAATGTCTCTGAATTCACAAAGTAATGTTTTTTAACCTTGATATTTAGTCAAAGTTCATAATTGAAGTTAATCATATTATATAGGAAAAATTATCAAATCTCAAATATATTTTCAAGAACACGAATGAAAGCACTAGCTATGTACTTTCCTATTGCAAATTGATCAACAAATATATTTTAGAAAAAAAAATGGTATGCAGGCATTCGCGGAATTTTATTTTACACTAACTGTATAAATTTTAGTTCTTTTATTTACTTCAATTGTTATATAACATATAATATTAAATTGAGCTTGTGCTATCATTGGAAGACATCGCAGATCACTTATAATTTCATATATTTCTAATAAGCATTATTATCTAAGGCTAGAGTAAAGGAAATCTAATATGTCTAAACATGTATTTATTCTTGTACTTGTATTTAGTGCATGTGTCAACTTCTGCAACACAGTTTGTAAAACTTCAAAGAACCTTGAATCATATTGAGATGCATGAAATGAGAATTGTTGCACGAAAAGATTTCGATTGCTTTATTTTGGATATCCTTAAATGCATTTTTTTTTAACTTTGCGCTAAATAGCTGTGCCTTTAATATCGTCCTAAAAAGGAGGGAAATTGTGGCTTCATTGGGACCTGGGCAAACTAGGAAGTATTTTTGCATTAAGTACCCTTAATAGATCGAAACTTCATGGTTGTTCCTGCAAGAAATTCATAAGTACTACGTGGTTGTCTTGAATAGACAAAATATAAATTTATTCGACATGTAGCAAACAGTTTCAGGATCAAGACTTGTTATATCCTTTTTAATTATGTGCTCTCCATTTTGTAGAACATTCAAGACCTTTTTAAAGACAACAGAGTCATGAATCCAGTAATCATATAGGATCGTGCTGGACTTCAATATTTTACTTGTTCTGCATTTCAACATTGTATCTAGTTTAAGCACCAATTATTTTGCTTTAAACACCACATCAAATAGCAAATATTTAGCAATTTATCAGAGATTTTTATTTTTTTTTTCATGTATATACAAATACTTCATATTGACAACGTTCAAATCTAAGCACTTATCTCATTTCACGTCAACTGACGTCCATTAATTCTAACATCTAAATAGCTTCCTCTGATTTGTTAGTGTGAATATCATCAATAACAAGATGTGTTTGTGAAACACTGATGCCCCCGTATGGCAGCTTATGGCGAAGGTTAAAGTTTCTCAAATGGAAGTCAAAATCCAGGCCAGAATGTTAAATTTGAAAGCCCTAGCTCCAACCATTCAAAAGTTATGGCGAAGGTTAAAGTTTTTTAAAAGTTAGTAAAACATCAAGGGCAAGGTCAAAGTTGTTGGTATCCAAAGGAAGGTCTTGTCACAAGGATTACATATGTAAAGTATGAAAGCCCTAGCACCAACCATTCAAAAGTTATGGCCAAGGTTAAATTTTTCGAAAGTAGGTCAAACTCCTATGTCAAGGCCAAAGGGTCAAATTAAAGTGGTTGGTATACAAGGGAAGGTCTTGTCACAAGGATTACATATGTAAAGTATGAAAGCCCTAGCACCAACCATTCAAAAGTTATGGCCAAGGTTAAATTTTTCGAAAGTAGGTCAAACTCCTATGTCAAGGCCAAAGGGTCAAAGTGGTTGGTATACAAGGGAAGGTCTTGTCACCAGGATTACATATGTGAAGAATGAAAGCCCTAGCACCAACCATTCAAAAATTATGGCCAAGGTTAAAGTTTTTCAAAAGTAGGTCAAACTCCTATGTCAAGGTCAAAGGGTAAAAGTGGTTGGTATCCAAAGGAAGGTCTTGTCACAAGGATTACATATGTGAAGTATGAAAGCCCTAGCTCTAACCGTTCAAAAGTTATGGCCAAGGTTAAAGTTTTTCAAAAGTAGGTCAAACTCCTAGGTCAAGGTCAAAGGGTCAAAGAGGTTGATATCCAAAGGAAGGTCTTCTCACAAGGAATACACATGTGAAGTTTGAAACCCCAAGCACCAACTGTTCAAAAGTTATGGCCAAGGTTAAAGTTTTTCAAAAGTAAGTCAAACTCCAAGGTCAAAGTCAAAGTTGTTGGTATCCAAAGGAAGGCCTTGTCACAAAGAATACACATGTGAAGTTTGAAACATCAAAGCACCAACTGTGCAGAAGTTATGGCCAAGGTTAAAGTCTCATAAAATTTTGCAAAAGTGGGTCAAACTCCAAGGTCAACAGGTCAAATATGATGGTACCCAAAGAAAGGTCTTGTCACAAGGAATACACATGTGAAATATGAAAGTCATGGCTCCAACCAATCAAAACTTATGGGCAATGTTAAAGTTGACAACAGACAGACACACAAACAGACAAACAGATAAACAGACAAACAGACAAACAGATAAACAGACAAACAGACAGACAGGACAAAAACAATATACCCCCGGGATCTTTCGATCCGGGGGCATAAAAATACTGCAGTCGTCTACCTAAAAACTAGAAACTATGGCAAAAGGTAGGATAATGAAATAGTGCTGATCTTTTAAAATGGTAAATTATAACTAATAAAAGGATTTTTTTTTTTTACATTTTACATTCACGGTTTGAAACTTTGTAATTTTGCAGTGGGACGGATCTCTCATTATGCTAGTTTTCAGAAAGTAACTGAAAAATTCGAGCTTTTTAACATAGAAAGTATAGAAATCAAATTACTGTTATCATCTTGCGCTATGAAGTCATGTGAATGTACAGAAAATATAAGTTACAGGAGCTGTACTGTGTCTAGGCGAAGGGAAAAAAGTCACCCATAGTCAAGAGAGAATCTTCAAAAATTTGGCATTGCAGGAAAGGAAATCATTGTGAAAGTTGAAGAGAAGGATTGTAAAATAATAACCTTAATTAAGTGAAACAGCAATTCCATGAAAGTTATAGGAAAGAGTAAAATAAAGAAAATAATTGATGGAAATCTGATGTTCAATCCAATTTAAGTTTTAGTTTTGTACGTGCTTTGTTTTTGTTATTAATGGAAAAACTCCTACATAAACAAATACATGATGACGATTACATGGGCGCAGACATTTTGTGCGGAGAAGAAAATGCTACCTGGCATGTGATTGGTCATTAAGAGAAAAGACTAGTTATGTATTTGACAAGTGAAATAAAGGTGATAAAAATCTCATATCAAGACTTAGGCTCCTTTGAGATATATAGGAGTTACAGGTAAAAGTTTGAAGGGAGGGATGCACTTTGGTTAGAGATTTTCATTTGGTGCTGAATGCACCTAGTTGTAAACAAATGGAATTTGAAAGTAAAAGTGCCGCGGCACGGTATATTTTTTCTGGCATGTTTTGGTCTACAAGATCTCGAACTTTCACGGCAAGAAAGTCATTTGCCCAAAATTCAATATATGTATCAGTGACAGGGGCTCAACTTTGTATGGAAGTCTATGGGAAAACATTTGGTGGTGTTTGTCCTATAATGTGAAAATAATGGAAAACATGTACACATAGCATAAATAGTTGTCATAGTTTCAAAGACTCCAAGGGTATACTGAATCGTTCAAGTTAAACCGACTATTTAACAGCATTTGTAGGTCCGAAAAATGTCAAATTATGTTAGCTAAATGATAAGAAAAAACATTATTCACTTTTTATTTGTAAAGAAAACATTTTCTTGGGTATAGAAACAAGAAATAATTATAGATGGAAACATTTTTTTTTCTCCTACAAAACAATAAATATGTAATTTGAATTCGGCAAGATCACAAAATATAATAACGCAGAATGTAATGTTCTTTAAAGGTGTAGGTATGATCTTTTTTCTCTCAGACAATTCTGCTTTTTCCTCGCTATTCTTTTACAGTGAAAACGTTGTACACTTTCCAAATAATACAGTTAGTTCACCCCTGTTCTACAGAAAAAGAAACTGAAAAGTTAAAAATATATTATTGTGGTTCCACAATATCTACAAAGACTAGTACATAGTAAAAAAGGGCAACCTGTTTTTTCCTCAAAACAGTCAATAGTCTTCTTAATTGATTATAAGCAAAATTCATACGTTGAATACTCTTCAGACTCTGTTTGATGTTTTTGACTAGATTTAGAGTACAAGAGACATATGATAATCCTAGATTTAAATGTCATAATCCACAATCAAAAAAAATACCGATTTGATTTTCAGTGTATCGAATAAAGTTGCACTAGTTTGTTGTTACTATTTTTATCATCTTAATACCCCCCTGTTTATTATCAGCAATAAAAAATGTATCATATTGTTGATTATTCTAATATTTTTTGATATTGAAGACAGCTTAATGAGAAAACTCTAAAGCATTGTAGATGACAGTCTTTGCAGTTTTTAAGAAAAGAGTACTCATATAAGATGCTAAATGATTTATTAACGTCAAAAAATAAGACACAGAAGGATTTTAGTAGATTTTTTTAATAGGTGTGGCGGGGGCGACGTAGGGTCCGCCAACAACACCAGGTCCGTATGGTCCACTTGCAACACCAGGTCCGTAGAGTCCGCTACCAACAGGTCCGCTACCAACTCCTGTTCCGTAAAAGAAGGGTGAATAAGGTCCAACAACATTCCCGGAATAAGCAGGGAGTGGGAATGAACCAACAACATTTCCACCAGAGTAGGGGAAATTACCGCCTAGTGTATTAAAAGCATAATAGACATTTTTGCATGTGTTGACATTTCCATATGGACCAGTGCAGCATTTCTGACCATAATAACAATCTCTGTCAGTGTTGCAATAGGATCCAAAGGAATTGGTATAAGTAGGGCATCTTCCATTTCTTTGAAATTCGATGGGAACTTGACATCTTCTCCAACCTCCAAACACGAAACAGCACTTTTGTTGTCTAGGGCACTGATAGTCATTAGAGCATTGCCTGCCTACGGCACCAAGGTCAGGATAGTAAGGACAAGTTCCATACTTCACTAATCCTGGACCAATGACTAAAAAGTAATCAATGTATTAATATTCAAATTACAAAGACATTTACTTAATCTTTATTAGATATTTTCTAGGAGAGGGGAAATTTGAGGGAATAAAGGTTTTTAAAAGTCAATCATAAAGAATTGTTTGCCCATATTTTCCTTTTCTTAATTCAGTAGCACAAAAATAAAAATAAAACTATAAGACACATTTACGTTTATTATTTTTGGGAGTTTTATGATACCAGGTAGATATATTTATTACTTTGATATTCAGTAAAGTAATAAATATTAGAAATGTACCTTTCTTGTCGTATCCAGCAAAGCAAGATGCTACCAATACGGAAAAAACAACCAGTGTGTTCATTTTGGGGTGGTCTGAAAGTATTAAATATCCCATATAAAATACTTAACCTCTTTAAAAAACATATTTGAGGCATTCTGAAAATAAATTTACGGTGTTAAGAAACGACAAAAGCATTCTTATTTATGCTATGCTACAGAGCTGTTTTCCTTGAATAGTGAAATAATAGAATACAAAGAAACTAATAAACTTTGCATTGATAGGATATATAATTTTTCTTGTTTTGATAATAAATTTCCATAGCCGGGGGAAATACATGTTATTTGATACATAATAACATCATTCTGCCTTGATTTGAGTCGGAAAAAATAGAATATTTTTTAATGCTCTTTTTATATCATCATCATGCTTTCATGTTTACTAAGTTTTGATAACAGCCCTAACAAAAAAACACTATAGTAAACTATAGTTTACTATAGTTAACTATAGTAAATCAAAGTTCCAAAGTTTTCACTATAGTAAATCAAAGTTCCAAAGTATTCACTATAGTAAATCAAAGTTCCAAAGTTTTCACTATAGTAAATCAAAGTTCCAAAGTTTTTACTATACTTAATTAAAGTTTCAAAGTTTTCCCTATACTTAATCAAAGTTTCGAAGTTTTTTTATTAGTTTAACAACTTATGTATTTTTATTAATTTTTTTTATTATTATTATTTAGCCATTTTAGGGGAGGGGGTGAATATAGGGTTGGTTGGGGCTGGTTTTTGTTGTACATTTTTATTTAAATATACAAAGTAGTTAATTTAAATATAATATTTACATTTATAAATTAAAAAAAAAAAATACATGTTGACTGAAGTTGATGAAACAGATATTTTGATTCTAAATGACACAATTTTTTTTGTCCATAAATAAAACTTACGTTACATCTGCATAACATTAAAATTAAATACATTGAAATAAATATTGCTTATTTATCGGCGCAAGCGACAACCTTTACAATAAAATTCATATCTTGTACATTATTCTTTTAGGGAAAGGTTTTTAAAATGTTCTCTAAAACTTTTATGAATCTTAAACTTGAAACATCATAAATTGTAAAGAATGGGAATCAAAAACATAATTCCACGGAATTTATCGTACTTAATCAAAGTTTCAAAGTTTTCACTATAGTAAATCAAAGTTCCAAAGTTTTTACTATAGTAAATCAAAGTTCCAAAGTTTTTACTTTGGTACTATATTTAACTATAGTAAACTATAGTTAACTATAGTTTACTATAGTATTTTTTTGTTAGGGAGGCATTAAAAAGGTAATAATTTCAATAATCTTTAATAAGACTAAACTTATTTGTGGCAGAATTATGTGAAATATTAGAATGATAGTAAATGTATTACAAAAAATCTGCATTCCAGATACTGATGTTGATCAATAGAATGAATGGATCATCGTGAATGTTTCAAAAGAATTCTACATTCCAGATGCAGATGCTATTAAATTTTGATCAAAAGTTAAACGATATATATACTATAACGATATATATACTAAACATGCTTTCTTCTTAATTTTTTCAAAATATACCACTTTAAATTGCTAGTATGATCAATGTAGATGAAACTGAAGTACAAGGGTTGAAATACGACTGATTTTCTATACATGTACAATGTCGAAAAAGATGACTTACCAAGAGGATTCCTCGTCAAAAGTGTGGAATGCTGGAATAGGGGACTCAGGCTGCTTTTATACAGAACGATCCGACACAAAAATTTAACCTTTGGCAAGGATGCCAAATATAAAGATAATCAATTAACATAAGTATTTTAATTAAGGAAAAATCAAAAGTACATCAAACGGCGCACAGGTTTCAAGGATGATACATGTGTATATTAATCTTAAGGAAGAAGACTGGGTAATTTTAACCCATGTCACATACATATTTATGTCCTCTGAATTCAATAGTACACACACACGCAAGCACACCCACCCACACACCCACACCCACATCCACATATATATATACACAATATATATATATATATATATATATATATATATATATATATATATATATATATATATATATATATATATATATATATATATATATATATATATATATATATATATATATATATATATATATATATATATATATATATATATATATATATATATATAATCAACTCATTATCTATATATCCAATGTAGCTATTGCATTAAATTGTTAAATTATTGCATTTTCTTTCAAAAAAAAAAAAGAATTATGAAATGTTTCTAGTAGGAGTAAACAAAATTAAAATCTATATCAAAAATTGCAACATAACAAGGTACAGTTATAAGAACTAGAGGAACTGTGAACAGTGAGTTCACAAAATATAGCCTCGCTCCCATATGAGTATGACGACAAAGTCCATTTTTTACTATGGGAAAGCCCAAATATCTGTCCGATCACAACCTAAAGTAGAAAGTACACAATGGCACTATGTCATAAAGATTTTGTGAAAGTATCATTAAATTTTATTCAGTAGTAAAGGAGGAATTGCGGATAAGAGATTGGTGCCCCCAATATTATAGACAATATGTCAGTCCATGTTTCGCTAAGGGAAACCTTAAATATGTGTCTGATCAAAAGGTGAAATAAGATTGCACAATGGCATATGTAATAAAGATTCTGTGAAAATTCCATTAGATTTTATTCAGTGGTATAGGAGGAGTTGCGGATAAGAAGTACTCTAATGCATAAAGGATGGAGAGAAGGACGGACGGACACCCCGTCATTATATACCCATTTCAAGCAGGGGGATATGAAACTATCCTCATTGACTACAGTATGCTTGGATCTGATAAAGAATGTTTGGATCTGATAAACGCCTCGTTTATCCTGACGCCTCTTCTCAGAAAACCTTCTCCAAGCATGTATATATGCATATACTGGTATCAAATGTGAAGGTAAAGAAAGAAAAAACTTTAATATTTTATAGTTTTAAAAGAAGTACAATGTAATTAAATAAAGAAAATACATTAAAATGTAATTTATACGGAAAAAAAGAATCGGCAATTTTATGCCGAGAACGCCATTTTTTGAACACAGGGAAATTTATTTTCCTCTTTTGGCATGTCTTTTTATGGGCTGAGCAACCTTTGATCTATTGTTTTATTTCGTCATATTTTATAATTATTGCAGCTCATATGATATGACAGAACTGTTCAGCATCATCATTGAAAATGTTCAAATAAAGTAATTCCGTATATTCATTACACAGGGCTACTATAGTAACTGGACTCTGCAAGCTAATTCAAAGACGCGCAATTAGTGAAAGTATTTTAAACATGGAACCTAAACACAAGCCATCTTAATAATTATCAATATATTTTTTTTCTAAAGACTCTAAGTTTAAAGAAGATGGGTGAACATGACGAACGAAAAGCCTATAGTGTGACAAATATGAAGGTGAAAAATAATATCTCAATTATATCAAAATTTTCCTTGATATTTCATCTTACATTAAAATAAACTTAGGTAAAATCTTTACAATTTGCAAAAATCTCACAAAGATTGAAATTATTTGCTTATGAAATATTGTACACACACTAAAGAGGGCAAAAAGAGTCATTTTCTTATATTATAACTCTATTTTTCGATATGAGTGGGTCTTCGCTCCATTTTTTTGAAAGTTAATCCTCGAAGTTTGCATAAAAATATACATTTTTTAGTTTCCTAAAATATGGAGCAAAGACCCACTATACAAAAATATACTTTTATGACATATCATTCGCATCTTTTCGAGAAATACTTGAAGTCCATTAAGTCAAGGTCATATCACAAACATGATTTAAATGCCTCTATTCATCAGATCTTGTGTTGTCTAGTGGTTGGCGTGCTAGTCTCGAGAGAAAATGATATTCAGGATTTTTATTGCTAGGGTTCGAACCCCACGAATACCACATTATTTAAAAAAAAAAGAATAAATTTTGCCGAGAAAATTTTCTTCAGAAAGTTTGTTTATCATAATTTCATAAATTTCAATAATGTGAACTTTACTCTAAATACTGAATTCACAAATTGAACATGATTTTTATATACCTGGTATCTGGTTATCTGGCTATGTTCGCCCATCTCCTTTAAATTCTAAAAAAAAAAAAATATCTTGAAAACAACTTCTATACCTAACGCTAGTTTGATATCTCTTTTCTAAAGCAATGTACTTTTATAGACGGTAGTGCATTAAATAGAAAGATATTTCTTCAATTATGTACCTTATAAACTGTCTTGTGGGTAAAAGCGTTTCAAATACATTTACGTTTTTAGAAATGTAAAATTGTAATTTAAATTAATGCATTCAACATGATCAGGACTTTTACGAAATTGCTCGTAATTTATTGTTCATTTTATTTACAACTCTCCAAAATTCTCATTAATTTACAGAATCTGATGTATATACGTGTAGCAATATTATTTTGAACGGATTCTTATTTAATTAATGCACAGTGTAAGCGTGATTTAATTGGGGTAAACACATGGTAAACACACGCTAATTATAAACGCTATTGTTTGTAGGTCACAGGTAACGGCCTTCAAACTGTCTGCATGACCAATGTTTTTGCAACAATTAACACTACTGCAAGATAAGTGTGAAAATGTCGTTATTTGAAAAATTACCGTCCGCATAAACGAGCCATTTTTCAATGAAATATTAAATTTTGTAGTAGAAATCGACCGGAAGGTGAAGCGTCCGGATTAATGGAGTCCTGATAAACGCGGCGCCACTGTACTTGGTTATTATGTCGACACGTGATCTTCTCTAAGAGATTTAAATTCTTATTAAATAAAAATTAGATTGCATCTTGCTGTCTATGTCTAGCTCTGAGGGATATGATTTCAACGAATTTGATTCTACAATACGCTTGGCAAGTTTATTTTAATTTGACTGTTCTTCGTAGGAAAACGGCTTTTCAAAGATCTTCCATTCCTATCTTTTTTGTATCTTAGATTTAAACAATTATGATTGGAATGAAATTTGAACATACATTTTATATATATATATATATATATATATATATATATATATATATATATATATATATATATATATATATATATATATATATATATATATATACATATGCGTTAGTATTTATTTGACTGATGACTGAAACTCTGCTCTTGAGAAGATCTTCCAATATTTTTTCCATTGTTGTTATTTCTTCTGGTGGCCTTATCTTTGCTCCGAGGCCAGATATTAACTTAAATCTATAATACAAGAACATTTTGAGGAGATTTGGAAGAATTGTTCCTGTATGTCCCTATAGAGGACATTCATTTAAAAATATACACTTAAGTTTGTTTGCTGAAATTGGACAGAAGGATGACATCCATACTTCGACCAGAAAAACCCACTTGAGCTTCTTGTTAGAGTGTTCATTAATAAAAAAAAAAATAAAACAAAAAGAAATGCATTTGCAACATATAGTTTATTATATCAGAAATGAGGAATGAGAAGCACACATTTAATATTTTTTCTTGGAGCCTTGAGGAAATACGGGTAGCAGAGGACTAACCACACCTGAACCGCCTACAGGACCAAATGAACCACCAACAGGACCAAGTGAACCGCCTACAGGACCAAATGAACCCCCTACAGGACCAAATGAACCGCCTACTGGGCCAAATGAACCACCTACTCCACCGAAGCCAGCATAAAAAAAGCTGAAGAATGTACACGTGTCAATTTGACCAAATGGAAATCGTTTACAGCATTTTCCACTTCCGGGGCAGAGGGTGTCATCATTGCATGCTCTTCGATTTGGATGGGAAGGAGGCATCATAAAGAAATTATTGCAGTTACCGGATTTTTGATATTGAAGTGGGATCTGACAGACGTATCCGCCTCTTTTAGAATTGTAACAACATTTCTGTGACCCGTGACAAAATTCGTCGTGAGAGCAAAAAGGTCCAAGTTGTTGAAGGTCTGTTTCAGAAGGACTAGGACAAGTCCCGTATTTTTCCACTACAACAAATAACACAACAACTACTATTAAGAGATCAAAGATGCTAAAAAGAATACGTTTTTCACAATATTTATACAGCCTATTTGTTTTTATACCTAGTAAGAGCGTATCTGATCATGTTTCCGTTCAATTCGTAGCAATTGCCCAGTGCCCCTCTTACCTAGTGGTAGTCTGGTCAGTGCTCCTCCCCCTCCTCCTCCGTATACTCCTCCTACTCCTCCCAATCCTCCTCCACCTCCTCCTAGTCCTCCTACACCTCCTCCTAGTCCTCCTACACCTCCTCCTAGTCCTCCTACACCTCCGTGTACTCCGCCATGACCCCCATCGTCATAATGGTGTATGCCTTTAGAACCGTAATCATCGCCCGCATTACAGGAAACCAGAATGGAAACTAACACAATCAAGGCGTTCATTTTGACTGTAAACACATTAACATCAGTTTTATAAATACCATTTTATTCTTTTTCAATTCAATTTGTTGCTTTAATTTCATAAAAATATTCCACAACTCATCTTCATACGTTAAAACAGGTAGGTTCTAATAAAGCATCTTTACCATTCGGAGCATATTTCAAACACTGTTAAAATGACTGATCTGAGAAGAAAGCTGTATTTGAGAAGTTAATAGTTTATATGAAATAATCTTGAGTGACACGAAAAACATGTATGCAATCTATGATCAATTTCTTAACTAGATAATGTTTAATTTAATAAAACATATCCCATTTTCGTTAATCATTATTCTACTACTCTCTTTCCAATCTTCTCATGACTTTTGTCATTCCTGGAAAATAGATCTTAAAGATTATTTTGCAAAGGAGAGGGTTGTTCTTAAAGTTATTACAAACTGTAAAAATTAAAAATCATTAGTTAATCTTTCTAGAAAATAAGTTTAAATTTTTTTTAGAAGTTTTAAATGCGTTGTTTTCTAACTTTGATAATTCTACTTACACTTACCTGCAGTCTGATTCTGTGTAGGAACAAGAATGCTTTCAAACAAAAACCTTGCGTCTTTTATAGTTTAGGCGGATTGCAACGAGCCACATGCTCTCACCACAACTTTGGTTGGGTTGACTTTTTTCATTGATCTGCCTCCTTACTTTTCCTGATATTTTTTGCCCAATATTATTATTCGTCGTAATATCTTTCCTAAATTTGAATTAACAAAGAACTTGCATGAAATGCATATTTAAACGATTTGTTAAAAAATTATATAATATTTTTTCAAATGCAGTGAAAGTTTTCATGCACCTGAAATACTCAATCATTTTGACAAAGGTTAGAAAAAACAAAAGCAAAAAACAATATCAGAATTAATTCTATCGACAAATACTGAATACAAATTTTGAATAAGGTGCTTTCCCAGGAAAAAAAAAACCCTGAAATATTGAAGAGATTCTACAACTCAGATATTCTTTCCACAAATTGATGAGGTAGGTGAATGCGACTCTGATTCATTGACCATCAATGATTTCTTTTTCGATAATAGAAATGATAACAATTGTTCATGATTTGAGACCTTTACCACTTTTTCATGGGATTTCGCTTTTATTTGTAGTAACATCATGCTTCATAATAAGACATACCATGGAATTAAAATCATTTTTGATAACAATTGTTAAATTAACATTTACATATGTTTAAATGAATTGAATCAATGATACATTATTTCTTTTGCAACGCAAGCCTAACTAAAAGATCGACTAAGGCCGAAAGCTTTCATTAAAAAGTGTGCCATTCGTTTTTTTTAGATTCGTTTCTCGATGAAACAAATAAGTTAAATAATCAATGCTTACAATTTAATTTTAATGACAAACATGTTACTTTTCCTGTACATATCTGTTATTTTGCTTACTCGAAAAATTTGCACGAAATCTACATGCCGAAAACTGCGTAGGAATTTATCTTGGGAAGTGGGGACCAAAAGCCTTTAGTACACAAAGTGGGTATAATTGTTTTAAAAATACAAAAATAAAGAATTCTCCTTTGTAATATTATCTTAATAATAATTTACTAAATTTGTCAATTACGTAAGCTATGAAATCTGCACGTGCAGTTTTCCAAAGTGATTGCAACATAAAGTAGACAGAAACTTGCTTTGTTGTCAGTAAATAATTGGACAATGGTCACACATCGAGTGGAGAGCCACGGTAAATTAAAATGACAAATATTCCCGTTTAAATATTATTTTGGAAATTGATTTGCTTGTCGATAAACCTTAGTACATGTGTGACCGCGTAGATTTGTACAGTACTTAGGAATTCGTCTGGAACTGCATCCGTTGTTTGCAGAACGAACGGGGTGAAGGAATATTGGCGTAGAGGGTACAAGGTCTAGGTAGAGGCGCTGTGTGGCTGTAAGGCAAAATGTGCCATATTCCCGAAGGTCCACCAATATGCAATTCCAGAGATAAAACAAAGGTAAAGGATTCCGTATTTATTAAATGAGTCTCATTACTTGAATCAGCAAACAAATATATTAAAATTGATCGAGTCGGATATGGCCGAAGCAAGTCCTGGCAAGTCGGACGTGGTCGAGACTGGCCTTCGTATATTCCAGACTAAAGATTGAAATTATTCATGACTATTTAGAAGAATGTACATAAAGAGTTATTATAGTGTAAAATTGATCCTCTGATATATTTTCTATTTTTAGTATAAATCTATTATCAGTTTCAAATTATTTTCTTTATAAAGTTTTATTTACAAGTTCGTATATTTTTATTTACTTCAATCAATTTCATGGCTTTGGATTAAGAAGAATAAATAACTTTTATAAGGCCCTTTGTCAGTTTTCTTTAGAAAAGTTTTGAAATCAGTTAGTGTCATCCTTTCGTGTAAAATCTGTGCTTTTCTTAGTTTTCCGCAAATGGAACTCTGTTTTCTTAATTACTTGAATCGTACTTTATCGTAAAGCCCTATTGTCAATCTTTCCTTTTGATGTCAAATATGAGTTCTTTTAGATTAACACCCTTTTGTAACAATTAGTGGCAAGATTAACTCAACGCCTTGAAAAAGGACGGTATCGTGTTTTTGTCCAACCACTTTTGCGATGGACATTCAACAATAAACAGCTTAATTTTTATACTGTCTCCTGTCCTTTTTTTTCAGGTAATGTAGATTTACTTTGTACCTTATATTTTCCTTTATTTCCATTTTTACATTTTGTTTAATGGTTCATGTTGATTTAAATAGTACATGTAAGTAATAATCTCATATTTACAAAATGTCATTTTTCACAAATCTGAAGATAAAAATATGTTGTATTTTATATTTGAAAAGTATGTGTCATGAAACAAAATTATTAAGCAGTGTTTTAGTATTAAAATAATAGAGGTTTTTGAAAGAAATCATTATGTCGAAATTACTGTTTTGGCTTTTCCGGATATTTTGCATCTATTTGTACTGGTTTTCTATTTAGTATTCAAAACATTGTTGTTCAAGTGAACGTTGCAGTGGATTTTACCATAGGCGCTTGGGTCAAGGATAATGCATATTTTCTATATAATGTATTGTCAAGGAAATTCGAACTACATTCGTAACATTTTTTTAAAGCGCACAGTGGTTATTTTTAGTTTTTTGTAAATCTTTCTGCTTTATATACACTAGACTGTCACAGAAATGTGATATTATGCACGTTTTAAGAATGACATATAATCCCACCTGTATACTAAAAAGAAACAGTTTCTCCCTTAACAATTCTTCCTTAATTTGAAATTAATTCAATATTTTGAATTTGACTCATTTATTTTTATAATAAAGATATTCATTACTGAGATGTGTTAAAATACATGTAATGAATTGTGTGTTTATGAGATGATGTTTATATAATTAACACATGTTCTTATTTGTGGCATTATCTTACACTTTCATTTTAATTATGCAGAGTATCGTTGTTTTTATATCTTTTATTATGATTGTAAATGATCACTTTTGCAACGGAAATTCATCAATAAACAGCTTAATTTTTATACTGTCTCCTGTCCTGTTTTTCAGGTTTAAAGAATTTAGTTATCACCATAATCCCAATCACACGGTGATCATACATGTACAACATGATTGACAGTTAAGGACATTGGCAAGGTTCCTGGTTATCGTATAGAATTTTTCAAGAACCCTTGAGTAGGTTTAATTGTACTAAACAGGCTATATTCTGGATCGTTTGGTCTACCAAGCCAAGTTGAACCTTCTTTTTTATATTTTGTCAAATCAGTGTTTTTGCAATTCTCAGTGCATTTCCTATATAAAATGTTAATAAAAGGGTCCTACATAATTTTTCACCATAATATTTCTCCAAAACTCACTTATTTCATATCATAGTTTTTGTATTATATATGCATTTATTTATTGTATCTTCATTTCCATGACTTGTAGATATTTTTGCTGATTTTCAAAAGTTAACATATTTGAATGATTTTTCATATTTATATAGATATTTATGTGAAATTTTATAAAACATAACTTATTTATTGCGTTTTTCACTATAGATATCAACGGACAACGAAAAATATTTTTAAAACATAACACCCCCCCCCCCCAACCCCCCGAGAAACAAAAAAGAAACTTTTTATGGGTTTTATGAATTGTTCTTTCACAAATTCATATCAAATCTTTTTTGTTTTGGGGTTGAGAACATATGTTAACAGACA